ACTAAATTGCCGTCGTAGTTAACGCTGATCATGGAATTTTGTAAACAGCCGAAGACGCTGATAGACCCATTTCAATATTCTAATCACCAATAACAGCCGCCTACACGTGGCATTCATCCAGCCACGGTTTTTCTAGAGTTGTTGATGTTGGGCTGTGTCTGATAACGTTGTCTGAGAACGACCCAACATGGGACGATATATCACGATCTGGACCCAACGTTCATAACGGCAGCGTTACTTCATTAAATCTAATCAACGTAGTAGGTTGCGATTTTCAAAACGCACTAGCGGACTATGCCCCTGAGGCAGCGGGTTGTAGGCACCACAAAACAGATCATAACTACTTTTTTGGCGTTGCGATGGTGATGAGCCTCCATGCAGAAATGCAATGTACTGCGTCCAAAATAACCGCGAAGGCCGACAAAAATGGTTTCAAGAGGAGACCCTCCTGGGTGAAGATGGTCGCCTCGGGTAGAACGATCAGGGCTATCTGCCCGGTCACGGTAGATGGTGAAGTCTTGGGTCGCACTCTCCTAAGAACGTGGAGGGGAATGATGAAACCGACTGTCGGATCACCCAAGCAGGTAGGACCCTAGCTCTGCTTTATCTTAGCCTCCGGAATCGACGCGACGTCGGTCCAAATACGAAATAGCGAGTGTATGAGATAGCTGTAAAAACAACTCTTCCACACGCGTACAAGACATGGCCGATGGGTTTATAAGACAGTAATTGCCTGTATGTATAGACCAACGGCGTATGACCCATATTCCCTAGATTTGCTTCGCCGACTGCGCTTCCAGCGAATTACTATGCAGTTGGTTAAAAAATGAACCTACCCGATGTGCCCTCCATACTCGGAAACTGGAACAGTTTGGCCCTCGGTTGTGTCGACGTGGGATTGAAATAGTTAGAGGTATCATCCCGTCCGAACCGGGTTCTAGCTGGAGACAGTGCAGAGGTGGCCAAACAAAGACGTGGGCGAACGCAATGAGAGCTGGCTTCGACTGGATCTCTGGCAAGTGGGTGGTTACGGTTCTGACGACGGGAGACTACGACTGACCAGATCAAATGCAAAGGCCCAATTTACGAAACAGACGAGGGTGGGGTGTGGGCAACAGCATACTTATCTGGCAGTATGACAGCATGGATGGCCCACCCGTCAGTCGATGTCTGGGTGCAAACTCAACGCCGTTACTCTCGCGTAGGGCCCTCCAGAGGATCCAGTCAATAGCATAATTGAACAGTATGGGTGACAAGATACAACCCTGTCGGACTCCAGACCGAATACCGAACGGTTGGGAAAGATTGTTGCGGACCAGGACTCTCGCAGTAGTGGAGCGATAATAAGCCCTGATCATGGCGATTTTTTTGCCGGTACACCATCAACCGCCATTATCCGCCACAGGGACTCACGGTGAACGGAATCGAACGCGGCGGCAAAGTCAATGAAGCAGACGGCCGTCGGTTGTTGGTAGCTATGGCCAAATTCGAGAGTGCGCCTCAGTGTAAACATCTGGTCTTCGCATCCACTTCCAGTACGAAATCCGGCTTGGACGGGCCTCGTCCTTGAGTCACGCACAGCCTGGAATCGCCTGATTACGACAATAGCGAAGATCTTCGCAGCAACATCGATGAGACTCATGCCGCGGTAGTTCTCGCATCTCGTCTTATCTCCCTTCTTGAGGATAGGTACAAGGATGCCTAAGCCCCAGTCATCAGGAACAACCTCATCTCTCCACGCACGTTCAATCACCTCATGGAGCCAGGGGGCCAGAGTGTCGACACAAGACTTGAAGATTTCAGCGGGCATACCGTCTTCTCCGGGTGCCTTATTGTTGCGCAACTTTCGTATGGCATCGGCGACTTCTCCTTCAGGAGGGGGGGGGGGGGTCGCATGGCATTGCATAGGTATGAGAGGGAAAAACTCCGCTGAGGAGGAGAGCAAGGGCGAGGTAGGTTGGGTATCGAAGTTGAGATGGTGCTCAAAGAGCTCACGCCAGCGCCCGACTTCGGCCGAGTTGTTAGCAATAAAGCCGTCATTCACATCGCGAACAGAGTCAGTGTAGCGGGCTTACCGCTAACTTGGCGGATCAGACGGTAGAGCTTTCGGGTGTCACCAACGTTCGAGGCCTGTTCCATGGAGGTCGCTATTTCAGCCCAATATTGCTTTTGGCCATCCCTGGCCGATTTTGCCGTCATCTTCCGAAGTTGGCGGAAGTAGTAATCGTTGCGGGACCTGGCTCGAGCCGTCTGAACAGACAACTGCAGGGTTCTTCCGCTGATCCAGTCACTGCGGCGTCGCTGGGTGTATCCAAGGGTTTTCTCAGCTGCCCGATAGGCTGACGTCTTCAGTGACGACCACTGGTTGCTGATTTCTCCGTCGGCTCGGGTCGTAAAACAGGTCCAAATTTCTCTGCTTAGGGCCTCGGCAGTGCTGGCTTGCCGGATTGTAGCGACATCGAGGCGTCCCGGAGTCACACGAAGACAGGAACCGTTTAAGGACAGCACTGGTGACCTTCGCAGTAATGTCGGTGAGGCTCATGACGCGGCAAATCTCTCACTCTGCCCTACTTCTCTTCTTGAGGGCAGGCACGAAGATGCTCGAGCTACCTCATCTCTCTAAGCTTGCCCCGTCACCTTATGGGGCCAGAACGCCGGAGTGCCCAAACAAGACTCGTAGATTTCAGCGGGAATACCAACCTCTACGGGCGCCTTACTGCTGTCCAAAGTCTGCTCTGCATTGGCAATTTCTCCATCAAAAGGGGGGGTCGCATGACACTCCACAGGCTGGAGAGGGATTATACCCCGCTGCAGTGGAGAGCGAGTGTGTGACGGGTTGCTCATCAAAGTTGAGGAGACGCTCGAAGTGCTCACGCCAGCGACCGACCGTGGCCGAGTTATCAGCAATAAATCCGCCACTCACACCGCAAACAAAGCCGTTAAGCAACGAGGGACTACGAGTAACTTGGCGGACGGTTTGGTAAGCGTGTCATGAACGTTTGAGGCCTGTTCCGCAAAGGTTGCTGTTTTGGCCCAACATTTCTGCTGTTCATCCCTAGCCCACTTTGCTATCATTTCCCGGAGTTGGCGAAAGGAAGCATCGTTACAGGACCAGGCTCGGGCCAGTCTCGGGAGGAGACTGGAGGGTTCTGCCGGTGTTACAGCCACTGTAGCGCCGCTGGGTAAATCTAAGAATTTTCTCAGCTGCCCTACATACTGATTACTTCGGCAATAACCGCTGGCTACTGCCTTCTGCGTAAGCACGAGTCATAAAACAGGACCGGATTTTGTGTTTAAGGCTTCGGCGGTGCTGGGTTGTCGGAGTCTTCGGACATCAAGACGTCTCGCACGTGGCATTTTGGAGCAGATTAGAGTTGAGCTTTCAGGTGTGTGGACGAAATCATGGTCAGACCCATGGTCGTTACTAATTCCGACACCACGCATCGATTTCCAACCGTGCGTCCGGCTGCCGAACTTCGAACCAACAGGAATTTTGTAGATCTGACCGGTCGTATGGTCGTCACCTGAGTAGTGGGTCAGCAGATGCTCGCGGAGATCCTGGAAGCACTTGTAGGTAGCAAACAGTCGGCTCTGAGCGGCAAAACTCAGCATCCTCCACCATTGTCGCATCGAGAGCCCAGCCCAAAACGGTCGATAAGGTGACTGTGTGAAGAGCCGCCCGATCTGGTCCGGCCATTCCAGTCCAGGGTAACAATCAAGAGATCAGGGTGAGGGAGTCTTTCAACTAGCTCCTGCAGATGAGGCTTCATCCCCGTAGTCGTGGAGTGCTGTTTATGGTGGTGAAATTTGTCGAATGATGAGGTGCTAGTCCTTCATCGTAAGCAGGAAATTTTGTGCGTTTGAGGTGGAAAATTGGCTTAATCAAGCTCAGGAGATTTAGGACATACGAGCAGTTTTATGGTTTTATACAGGTTTTAGACTAAGTATAGGGCTGCACCGAAAGCCAGTGACTAAACAGCCATATTTTTACAAGAAAGTAAATCTGTCCTAGAATTGGCCGCGGGACACATATATTTGAGGTCATCATTGAGGCAAGATTGTGATAGTGCCAAGACAGAGTGTGGAGAGAGGGGATAAGCACTGCAATCCTGAGGGAAGGTAAAGTAAGCCTGGGAAGACTAACTACTCATGTTAGTGGCTCTCGAAGGAGCTTCTCGTCTGAAATACGTAATCAGCCAACGCTGTAAAATAAGGAAAAGGAAACAGTCCTTGCTCAAAGAGTTTTTCGCATACTGACCGCTGAGAAGAACGGATAATATGGGTATTTAGAACGGAGGCACAAATGAGCTTGGCCCGAAGAGATTTCCGAGCAGTTTAGAGGCGCTGCAAAATGAATTCCAATAGGATCAAATCTTTGTTCAGATAACTCATCGCCGTTCTAAGAAGAATGTGCTTAAGACATTGCAGCTGTCTTTAATCTACAGTTCATCCACTGGAAGGACGACACGGGGCTATGGGCGACTATTTGGTACCAATAAGAGGAGGTGGTTAGTGTGCGGGCCCTGCCATCTAAACTGTGATACCGGCAAGTAAAATGATTCGGAGCAGCTTAGAATTTTTGAAGGGGATGAATTAAAATCTGGTGTCGGAGAATTCTCCAACACATGTTATACTTACGCAATTTTTAGTCATCAGCGGCTTAAGTAGTACATATGTAATGTATGAGTGAATTCTTAAGAAATTGAAAGGAATTGACGCTGAAAGGGTGCTGAAACAAACCTCAAACAACTAAATCCACCAAAAATAGCGCCTGTTGCAACACCAACACAGAATCCCATCATAAATCCCATTTTCATCCTGCTGAAGCAGGAAGGCTGAGACATATGTCCATAGGAACTAGGAGCGACCGGCATTCCGAGTCTAAAAGTGGTGCATGTAAATGAGGGCCATAAAGAAGGAGGGGCTTAAAACACTAAGATAAAATCAAAGCATTTATTTTCGCCAAAGATATCTGCTCTAACAGAAACAGGCACTGGTTCTCAGCCACCGAATAATCTACAAAACGAACTTTCATGAAGATTTGTTGACAAACATACGTAAACATTAGAAATATGACGAAAAGGTTCCAAATCCCAATAAATACGCGGAAGTATCGGACGTTCCTCACAAATTCCTTAGCTCTCGAACCTACACGTGCTTGATATGTGCATGACTGAAAGCACCATACCAATGCGTGAAGATTCCTCATCAAATATGGGATCCTGTTTACTAAGCCAGAGAGACAATTAAAAAGAGTGCGACTCACAGGTTGAAGTTTAAAATGGCTAGTCCATTAATGAACAGGGTACTATTCAAGACGATTAGAAATTAACGGCGAACCTCGCAACCACTACATCCGACAGCATGACGATTAATGTTTCGACTATACCCGAAAGGTAATAATTTAGAAGTATACTATTTTACTAAATTCAAATAATTTGTTTGCTTTCATAAGTTGGAAAAGTTTGTTTTAATTTGTCGAATATTTTGCGGCTAGTTGAACTCCTAGTGTTACCCCTACCCCAACTTCCGTCCGGAGATGGTGTCAAAAGATGACGAGTATGATTTTCTCTTTAAAAGTACGTACTTTCTTTGCAACTTTATGATTGCCTACTTGACAGTTGTGTTGATAGGTGACTCCGGTGTGGGAAAGAGCAATTTGCTCTCACGCTTTACACGTAACGAATTTAATTTGGAGAGTAAAACTACAATCGGCGTGGAGTTCGCCACCAGGTTTATCTCTCTTATATCGTGTTATCTTTCAGGAGCATAAACGTGGATGGTAAGATAATTAAAGCCCAAATATGGGATACTGCTGGCCAGGAGCGTTACCGCGCAATTACTTCGGCGTAAGCAGTGGTTTTGTGCTCACGCGTATTCGATTGTTAATTTTGTGTGGTCATTTGGTTATTGTTCACTGATCCCTTATTTGATTATTTGGTTGTGCGCCGTTTCTTGTGCTTCCACGATGCTGTCTATATTCATTCAATTATGTCGCTTTACATACCTACGTACTTCGATTCTGCTGATGAATTGAGCCCTAAGTCCGGGTATGCTTCATACCGAAGACCTCCAATAAGGTTCGACATTTATGAAAAAAGTTATATGTTGCAACAGCGGTAATCGATATACGCTTTAGTCTCAAGTTTCCCTTTGATGAACGAGAACGAGGTGGTAAACACATCTGACGGCGGAACCCCTGGTTAGTCGCTCCGGTCATCTTGATACTTCTACCACATAAGTGGTGAGAGCAAGTTAAGAGTGTTTCTCGCGAGAATCTAATCCTCCAGCAACCTTCCCTCAAACTCTGATTTTCACGTTATTCCTAAGCAAGTTTCTTGTCGGTGACCGGTTTTTCATCAGGAAGGTCATTTGGAGTTTGTAGACTGTCCACCCCATCTTTTCGTGTTTTAACTCGACTGAGTCCATATATATATATATATATATATATATATATATATATATATATAAGAGATGATGTCGACAAAGACGAGGGAGACCGGAATGGCCATCTCCGGCCTATTAGCCGTCATCAGCCGGGACCTTTGGTCATGGAGTTTGACACTCTACCATTGAGCCACGTGCCCGTTGTCCTGTTGGTTGTTAACGCCCACTGTCATAATATATGTACATATATATCTTTCAGGCTATTGTTCTTGATTTCTTCCCCCACCCCCTGACCGACTCTTTTATCGTATTTTACCTCATTAACTATTGTACATCAGCCAAACCGTCGAAACTTGGTTTGTTACAGAAGATCTCTGTTGAATCTTATCTGTGCGTGAACTTCAGTCGTCATATTTTTCTTCTTTGCTCTCCGTCCCTGTAGAAGGTAGGGGACTCTTCTTTTCCAAACTGGACTTCAACTGTGTACTTTTTTTCTCGTTTTGCTTTTTTAGATACTATCGTGGCGCCGTCGGTGCCCTCCTGGTGTACGACATTTCCCGGTATCAGACCTATGAGAATGTCGAGGCTTGGCTGAGGGAGTTGCGCGACCATGCGGATAGCAATATTGTCACTATGCTTGTAGGCAACAAGTGCGATCTCCGTCACTTGCGTACGGTACCTACAAATGAGGCCAAAGCGTTCGCTGAGAGCCACAATCTCAATTTCATCGAGACCTCTGCTTTGGACTCTACCAATGTTGAAGACACCTACACTACTCTCCTTGGACGTACGTATTGCGGTTTTTGCACTAAAGTATTTCACGTTGCATCTGGGTAATAACGAGCTCTGCCTGCTTAAGCCCCGCCATAACCGTTCGTGGTTCAGATGTCCGTGTTATCTGGCCGTGGACTCCCCAAATTTGTTTTGAGCTTTGTTACGCAACTTTCTGTCTACATTCCTTATTTCCTTCCGCCGAGTTTGCGTGACTCGTATGACAACTCCTGTAGCTGTACCCTGCAGCGGCATCTCATACGTTTGTGGACTGATTTGTCAAGAACTATGTGTCATCTATAACGTCACCATTTAGGCCAGTTTGATGAGATAGCGTGATTTCCCCTGCTCACACCGTCGCTCTCGGGCTAGTCTTCTGCGCAAAGGCCGAACTGGCACAAGAACATCGTCTTAATCGTGTGTGTTCGATGCTCAAGCACCGGAAATAATATATAGGGAAGCAGGCATTTTGATCGCTGAAAGTGACGCATCATTGCACCTGTCGGTGAACAAAACATGAACTGCGAACTGGACGTCCTTTAGTGGCAAGAGTACACCGCTGTATCCCGCGCCTCGAAAGAATCGGGCATGTGATTACCAACTTAGCTTGCCTTATCCAGAAATCTCATTCGATAGTCTGTGTCGGAAGCTTGGCAGCCTCTACAACACGAGCCACTGCCACATTTACTACTCTGGAGTATATTACACCACATTTCCGCTACATCGGAAGGCTGGAAAGCCTCATATGATATCACATGCGTCCTCTACTGGAACGACTGGAAGGGAAAAGTAGATGTCCTACTACCTTCAGGATTTGATATTCCCTGCTTTTCTCAGTGGCATAAGGACTGGAGCACGCGCCCTGATATTTATACCCTATCTTATCTCACACAGGCTTCCAAGGTTTCCTCCCGAGTTTTATTGCTTTGGCGGCGACAGACCAGTTTGGCTGTTGCTAACGTAAAATATGTAGTCCCTCTTCTTTGACGACGTGACGATCAATCCGTAAATAGAGCACAAACTTCAACGTTTCGTAATACAAACGTAACCATGCATGCATATGACAGTTCGACCATCGATTTCGATGATGTCCACCGCATGCCCCACAGCATTATGGGAGCAGGGACGGTGACTTGCGCAGAGGTTTATAGTGCCAGTAAATTTGCGCTGCATCCACCTACACTCTCTCCTCCTCCTCGCCCGCCTGAGCCCGGTGTCAAGACAGAGTCAAGAAGACCGGAGACGAGGGAGGCCGCAGGTGGATGGCTCGGACGGATCCTCACCTTGGCGTTCCACCACACCCCCTGGTCCACACAACAAATAACCAGGATTTTAACCAGCACAACAGAGATTGGAGGTTGGCACGACCGAAGCCGCACCTGGGCGTGCCGCCAACGCCTGGCTCGGATCCCACACTGTGATGGGAGTGCCATAAAGCCCACATTAAAAAGGAGCCATTGCAGCTTGACTCTCAGACCGCCCCCCGTCAAGGAGGAGGTCCAAGATACCCCGTCAGTTGGCAACCTTCCAAGCCACGGCTTTTAGCGCACCGTGATAGCTTCAAGCGCGTCAGATTGTTTATAGTGAGGAGAAAGTGCGCTGAGTCGTCGACCTCACTCTTCCTTCCCACTCCCACACCCCAGCCACTGTCCGAGCCGGTCAACAGACTGGAGTGGGGAATGGGCGCGTTGGCTGTCATGGTCGACTGACCATGACTGCGCGCCACGGCACGACCTGGCCCCCATACACACAACATCAGGATCTCACACAACGGGGGTTGAGCGGCTTGTCTCTCACTTGCGTGAGAGTGCCGTGGAAGGTGCTGTTTCAGCCCGTCCCGAGCCCACCAGTCCGCCACTCCACGCAACACACACACAACGCGACGAACTGCGTGAACCGAGAGCAGGCGTCTACCAGCAACCTTCCTATCCACGACGCTTGACGTGTCGGGATAGTTTCGGACTCAAGTCACCCGTGCAGCCGAGGCCGCATGGGGACCGAGTCGAGTTGCACACTTCCCACTTGCGTGGGAGGTGGCAGTTGGGTGCATGAGGTGTGTGAGTGTTGATGTCTACTGGTGTGGTGGTGATGGGTGATGATAGTCCTGTTGCCAATGTATCACGTTGAGGCTTCTGTTTTTTACCCGATTTTCTTTATTTACAAAGTCAGAAAACTGGACATAAGCTAAAACCATGTGGGTTCCGGATACAGCGCGTCGTGCACAAGTCTAAAATTTAATATGCATCTCTCATTAGACGCGGTTTGCTAGGGTTTACCAGTTTCGATGACGCAACAAGGCCAAATTCTCACCTTTGGTTTTCATCGATTAATTACCCCCATTTAAGTGAGCTTAAATCGCCTTGCGTGACCTACTGTTGCACTGATGAGAGCAGTTTTCCGAGTTCTTTGCTTGTCATCTCTGCCTGCTCCCCGTGTTACCCGTACTTTTCACGATCTCCCGCCTGCAGACCTCTGTTAGCGAAGTGCAGTCAACAGTTCTCCGCCATCAAAACAGCGGAACGCAGATTACTTCACCGGGTCCGCATTTACGGTACTTAAACAGCGTCGATATTGCTTATTGGACAAAAAGATAGTTTGGAAGACGTTGACTATTATGTCTACTCAGTATCACTAACTACCGAACCGTGTTGACGTCGTTTTTAATGAACAGTGCAAATTCTCTAAAGTCAGTCACCTGACTACGACGCATCGCAATCAACGCTGGCGTTCGATAAGCATTTAGTTCGCTCCAACCCTCATTTTCTACGCTTACCTGCCCTCGAATATGAGGGCGTCTAATTCAGGCAAATCATCGTTGTTTGCATTGCCACGTTATTATGCTTTGAAAATTCCAACGAACGCCGTCTATCTTTGTTTGCTTACTTGCAGAATCCGAGAGTGTTGAGTAGCGGCCGAACTTCTGTGAAAACCAATCTAGTGTTCGCGTTGCAGAAGCGAGCTGCCACTTCCTCCTCGCCATTATCAACTGTATTCTGGTGTATATCGCGTCACCTAAGGCCTAGATGCTGCATTCTTTCTCATCTTCGGAGTTCGCTGTGATCTAGCTCCGTGATTTTCAGGATATAAAAATCGGAATCTGCTATGCTACATTCTGATCTATTCTGATTTTTGCTGTAAACCGTGACCTATCAAACTTATGCCTTTGACGAATTAGGCTAGTGAAGAGTACTGTGACATTTTCCCACGCGCAATGGCATAATAAAACTATAGATTTAGGAAACTCATTTGTACTCCTGAGATCATCTAATTTCACTGACGTCGGTGGTGCCCGCACCTTGCTGTCCTTCTTGGTGAGCTAGCAAAATTCCATATCCACCGAACCTTTGCTCATGCATCCTCTCGACTCCTTGACAAACTTCCCTGCGGCACCGTATCTTTGACTTTTTGTCCGAATGTTCGTCTTTACCCTGGTAACAGACAAAATCGGATGTTAGTAGGCCTCTCATGTTTTGCTAACCGTGGCGTGCACTGCGCGTATCCAGAGTACTTTGGTTGCATCCATTTCCATCGCTAAATTGACAGAGGTTGGAAAGCGAATGTGGATCTCCAGTCGGCGCCGCAAGGCTTATGCTTCCCGATTGTCTTCGAGTTATCTTTCTCGCGTTTGTAGCAATCGGACTTGGTCACTCGCCGTCGCCTGTCGAAAATGGTGTACTTATGTTCTTCCAAATAATTTCGCTACCTATTTTCACCTTTCTTTTGCGGCTTTTAATTATGTGGACTCACCAGTGCTGGTTTATCTCACCAGGTCATATGGTAACATCACTCCTGTCATATGCCGATCGTCTACGCCGTGAGTGGCCGGCCGGTCTCAATATTATTTATCCTTCCTTGTCACTGCCACCAGCTTTTTCCTATAAGCAGAAATCTCGGTGTTTATACTGTGCCATCCGAAGTCGCACACCACATCTGCATTATTTTCTGTCTCCAGCTGTGATGGACCCCCGTTTTTTTCGGCGAACCTGAGGTCGATAGGGCGAGGAAGTATAGATTGATTTAGGGGTCACAACGCGGCATTCGTGCTGTGTGCTTCACAGGCAACCATGAATACAGTCGGTTAGCCATTGATGTGTTCTTCACAGTTTTCTATGACCACGCCATTTTCCAGGACATCTCATGCCAAATTTTTTACTAAGAATTAAACTGAACATCAAGCGCAAGCAAATATTCTGCCACTAATTTCTTTTAGCACGTTAAGCCCGGCCGTCAGGCACGACCAACGTTACCCCCCTTGTTTCACCTTCACTGTTTATGTCACTTAGCCGTCTATCTTCCCCTTATTTTCTCTTAACCGTTTACTTTTTACGGTCTTTCCCGACCGAGGGGGTAATTACCTACTTCCAAAGAACTTTAATCATGACGGCAAAGGTCTATTCAGTGTCATTAGTGCTGCTTTTTTCAATTATTTTATGCCAAGTTCCCCAGTTCTCATCCTTCGACCATCTAGTTAAGCCATACGACACGAGCTTATGTTTGTTTCTAGGAATTCCAGCGATAAACCACTAGAGTCCACCTCTAAGATACCAGGCGCAGTAAGCTGCTTCCTCGTGATTGTTCATAACTCCTGCATCCTGATCCCAAATAATGAATTTTCGCAGGTCGCATTTAAGGCTTGGCCCTCTAACCCTCCTGGCGAAGGCGGCTGAGTCCACCACACAATTCTAGCTCCAACTTCCTGTTTGATTTTGCCGGAGGTCACAGTGGGCAGATGAATGTAGCACGTGCCTTCTTTGTAATCGTTGGCTTTTTGTTGTTCACAGAAATCGCTCGTCTGGTAAACTCAGGACCCTACCCCAACCAAGGGAACCGAGGACCCAACCTGGATGGCCGACCAGTGATCTCCATCACCAGCCAGCAGAACCCTCCCGAGACCCGAAAAGCATGCTGTTCGGGTTTTTGAGTCGCCTTCGCCCTTGCCAGCCGCCTCTCTCTACTGGTTTCTCTTTCCATCCCCTATCCCTGCCCTCCCCCCTCTTGTTTTCTCTCATGTTTCCACTGGGTGTCTAATCACACGCACACACGTACACACACACAGGCACCATCACATCCTTGTACACGCCCAGTCTGACTGACGGAAGCATAGATGACCCACGTTTTTGCAGCCGTCGGTATGTCTTTTAACACGTACTGGTACCCCGAGCTCTGGGCGTCTTGCCCGCTAAATGAGCATTCCGGTCCATCGTCCCCCTGCGTGTTTGTTGCCAAATAAACACCAGTCTGCTTCCCCTTTCCCTCCCGACTAACTCTACCTCTCCCCACTGGCTGTGTTTTCCCCGCGTATGCATTGAACTTGTTTACTTCTCACCGTTATTAAACGCTCGCCACTGTTTTTCCTCCTCATCCCTCGAGATGATCTTCTAGTTTCGAATTTTACCCGACTCTAGAGCGCCAGCTGACAGACACCTTCCGGCCTTGTGGTGACGGAATGATGGGAAACAGTTTAAGCGGGAAGAGGCGGCGTGTGGTTTCGCCCGGGTTTGAGGCACGGGTTTTCCGATAATGTTGTGCTGTTTTCACGGATGTGTGACCAGACCCATATGTGCTGGTAGTTAGGGCGGTGGAGAGGGCCCCTGTTTCCTCCGCGTCCCCATTGCTGGGTGTTGTCGACGGCGTCCTTATCGCTGTGAGCATAAGGGTGTTCGCTAATGACAAGGTAGAACTGGACCGTTATGTTCAAGTGGGTGTTGCTGTAGAGTATTTATCTGCTGGAAAACGGGCATCCCAAGAAATGCGTAAGTTTTCGAGTCTGGTACCCCAGCACTTTGTCAGACTTTCGGGTTATGTACAAAAACAGTTAACTATTTAGCCGTGCCAAACAAGTGATTCTATGGTTGGCCGAAGCCTGCGCCAATGGTTTTACGTCGTCTCCTCGGCATTGGCTGCGCTCGCTTCCATTTATCCTTGAGAAATTTGTATGTGGCCTCATCTGAGTGCATTGCCTCCAGGAATTCGCGGCCTTTCTTTATTGGGCAGGCACCAACACTGCAAGCGTTCTCCCATACAAATTTGTGTCCAGTGTGTGCCTAGCCACCGGGGTAGATGGTCTCGTCCCTCTACCGCTAACTCATACTCATCTATGCCGGGTAGACGCAGATTTCCCAGTTTAGCCACAATAGACGGCATCACAACTGTAACATGGTATTTTGTAGACAACACCTTTTCTATCAAGATAGCCAACTCTCCCCTTAGGGTGTGCAAGCTGTGTACACAAGGTGATTGCAGGTTGGTGTGCCACCTGTCTTTCGACGAGCTCAGATACATTTTTCACGTATGGGCGAGTCCGCCAGGTGAATGCTTTTGGTGCCTGGGTGGCCGTAGTTTTCGAAATGCCTTTCCGTTTAAACTCATGTTTCATGCACTGACGTACAAAGTCGCGCGGGTACCCGGCGTGGGAAAATAATTTCTGCTTGGTAATTTTCTCTATCAGAGCAGTGAGTTTTAGCTTGGTTTAGCAGGCTGTAGACAGTACTCCTCTTGTGAGAGATGGGATGGCTACTCTCAAAATGTAGGATGACCTCGGAGTATGTTTCTTTGCGATAAACTGAAGTGTGACGGGATCCATCAGTTTTTCGGCATATGAGGACATCTACAAATGGCGGTTGTCCATCAACTTCTGTTTCGAAAGTGAACTTAATTCCTGGTAATGTGGAGTTAAGGTTTGTGTGAAGTCGGTCTAATTGGTTTCTCTTGACAATGACAAATGTGTCATCAACATAGCGCAGCCATTGTTTTGGGTTAATTTTGGGAAGAGCTCTGGATTCCAGTTTCTGCATTTTGGCTCCTTTTGGAAAACCAGATATAGGCGAACCCATAGAGGCACCTTTCGGTTGCGGATAACATTGTTTGGCAAAAGAGAAGTTGGTTTCTAGACAAACATCAAGTAGTTGGTCTAGTGTGTCGGCAGACACGTCAGTGGTGTAGGCCTGAAGGAGTTCTTCGGTGCAGCGTCTCGCTAAATCAAATGAAATCGAGGTGAAGAGAAAGACTACATCGAATGAAACCATTCTCTCGTCGGTTGCAACATTAGCTCCTTTTAATTTGTCTAGGAAGTCATTTGAATCTTCAATGGAGTTCTCAGAGTCTGTTGTAAGTGAATGTAGATGGCGAAATAGCCACTCAGAAATTTTGCACCGATTAGGGAGACTATCGGTCACAGTGGAATACCCATTTTGCGGAATTTAGGAAGTCCATATATCTCGGCAATTGTGGGTTCGTCTTGTTATAAGGATTTGGCCAGAGCTCCTGAGACTAATTTCTTTCCGGTAAGGCGCTTTAGTGTTTTTTCAATGCTTGAACTCTGTGATTTGGTGAGGTCAGCATTCAGGGGTTCGTAGGTGGGTTCGTCCTTTAATAGTGTCATCATCTTCTTTGTGTAGTCCGACTTTTTTATTATGGTGGTGGAACCTCCTTTGTCAGCGGACAGAATTGTGATGTTTTCATCTGTTTTAAGTGAATCTAGAGCTTTCTTTTCATAGCAAGATAAATTTGAGGACTTGTTTCTGTTCCTCGAGGCCTGTACAGTACTGCTGCGAATTGTAAATTGTTCCTCCTCTGTAAGAACCGTCTAAGTTATAATTGAGTCGAAGCTGGCCAGGAACTTCAAGTGGTTGCAGTCAGATGGATTATACTTAAGTCCTTTGCTCAACACTTTGTCTTCTTCTCTTTCCACTTCTTTTAGAAATGGCTGTCCATTTTTGTCCAAAACACTCCTCTTTTTCAGTCGCTCAAGTTCAGAGACATGCGTGATGGTCTGCTTAGAGTTTCAAATACCTGGAGAGGAAGTCCGTCGATGCAAAATCGCATGTATTGTTCATTCAGTTGTGTGGGATTTACGAAGTCGGTAGTGCGCGTCAGTTATGAATGCTCCAAGCACCTCTTGACCACAATGGATCGCAATTTGATAGTCTTGGGTTGACTTTATCGCAGGCTTTATCCGCACAGACATCAGAAAAATATTGTTGTTTCGATAGCGGTGTAGGATAGTATTTTATTTGTGCTTATTTTCTGGTTGTGCAGGGGGGATTTTGTGGTGCTGACATTGTGGGGGTCCGAATTCGTTTGACGCCCATTGGGAGTGAGAGCACGCTGGTGGGGGTTTAGATATTGGCGACGCTGGTACGCGGTCTTACGTGCACGGCCCTCCGCCCCGACATCTGCTGTTCGGTTCCATGTTTTTCAAGTCTGCTCTTCCTTTCCGAGCCTTTCCTGGGCTTCGGTTGGTTTTTATTTACCAGAGTGGGGCCCTCGTCATTTTTTCCATCTTGCCTATGGGTGTGGGGATATATTTCTGGAAGGGTCGCTCAAACTGACAGACAACAGCCATCCGCTGTGGCCACGCTAGTATTCCTCAGCCTGTCTTAGCTGCTGGGCACGCCAGCCGACTTCAGGAGTCGTGCCTGGGATCCGTTCCTGTCGTTCCGCCTTAAGCCTTATTCGAGAATAGCTTCTATATGGGGGAAGTTGTTTTGCTTTCTTCTTTGAGTTTTGGTTATTTGTCATTGGTCGTAGATGAGCGCAGAAGGGACTTCAGATATGTGCATCCCGACTTCTTTACCTTGAGGTTGGTGTTTTTACGCTTTTTGACTGAAGGTTGTAGTTAGTGAAAGACCTGAATAGCCTTTGAGATCCGGCCTGCAATTTCATCGTCAATTTAGGTACACTTCGATATCGAAAGAAGAAAGCGCCATCACCATCGCTTCTATCAGAGGTCTATTTGTGATCCGACGATCCGAGTGGTAATTCCGCCTGCCCATCTGGATGTCCACCACACCAGTTTGCCTCCCCTCTGACTAGTCGTATGAAACGCCTTGGCAGCGATCAGTGACGACGTGACAGGGCCACTAATTATCGCCGCGGTGAACGAGGACGATGACATCCCAGGTCATCGTGAAACGGGGTCCGACCCCACGGTCAGCATCGGTGAGCTGCGCAGAAGAGAAAGTGCGCCATATAATGAGAACTGTGCATGATACTCTCGAAACGTCTGATCTCCGAGAAACCTCTCCCGTTGAACGCCTTGTGTTATTTTGACACACTACTTGGAGAGTGCATTTTCGCAAATGTTACAATGTCTCCCAAGTGAACGAGATTTCAACTGTATAGCGACTTTCATCGGTAGTCAGCAGGGGTTCCGTGTATTTGACAGCCGGAAACAGTCAGTGCATGTCCATCGTCATTTTTGAGTGCTCAGGATCATCCCGTGTTGATTCAGTCCTTGCTCGGGGTCGATTCTGGTTCTGACGATTTCCATGATAGCAATCATTTTCTTGTTGGCCCAATAATTCGGTTTTATGACCACTCATTCTAGTGGTAGACATTCGTCACAACTGCGAAGAGCGGGAAACAGGAGAGGACTGGGTGGAAGACGCAGCCATACCTTACGTCGTCTGTCGCCGTAAAAGGTCCTGACACTGACTCATGCCATCAGAAGGCTGCCTAACAATCAGAATAAACTGTACCAGACGCCGTACATCCACCGTATTTCGTGGAAGTTATCTTGATTAGGAGTGTGGCAAGTCCTGGTGAGATCCTCGAAGCTGTAGTGGTGACTGATGCTCCTTTCCTTTCAACTTCTGCATGGTAATCGTACTGCGAACATTAGGTAAACGTATTCATGTTTTTTCTCGGAATCAACATCCTAGTGCGGGGGGGGGGGGAGAAGTGCCAGCTCGACTTGGCAGATTCCCCAGTGCTTGTCGCAGATTCGCCGTTTTTTGCCAATATGGAAAAAAACAATCGTCTTCTCCCTGAAGTCCAGTGAGATTTGCGCTTTCCACCACATTTCGCCCAATAGCGGCGTAAGTCCGCAAATGGCTGGGCCGCCTAGGTTTTTGCGAACTGCGGCTGGAATTTAGGTAGCGACGGGAGACTGTCCGTAGGACGTTCGCCGCACTAATCTGA